TGAGGTGAGTTTCCTCACCATGTTTAGCGAGTCTAAGGCACGAATGCCGGCCCATGATCAGTTATGCTAGGATACTAGATGTCTGTGTGACTCTTGTATGATTATATGCTTATATGATTTGTATGTTGGGCGGGGCCCATTATGCGAGTTTGGGTGGGGCCTGTTATACTCAGTGAGAGATGCCCTATATATGAGTTTGGATAGGGCCCATTATACTCAGTGGGTGGGGCCCGTTATGCGAGTGTGGGTGGGGCCCGATATACTCATTGGGAGGGGTCCGTTATGTGTTTGTTTATGTATGGTATGTGGTATGTTGGGAAGTTAGTTATGGGCAATGACACAAATCTATTCTCCACTCGCGATCTAAAAAGGTACACATCCTCTAAAGATCAAGAAGAATCAACTTCCTGTAGTTTGGAATTTTGTATGCCCTTTCATCATTCGAAGTCTCTCTGGAAGAAATGGTGGAATTGATAACATGGGGATCAAACTCCTGGAACTCGTCTGGAGTATCTACACTAGTAATGTCGTAAACTACGGGCAAATCTTATGGGACGAATTCTTGTAATACATTCCCAAATAAGCTCCAAGAGAAGATGCAACCGAGATCACTTTTTCTTATTTCTGGTCATTTTACATCTTTGATTTGCACAAGGATGCCAAGATGGATATGGGCAATGACACAAATATGTTCTCCACTCGCGATCTAAAAATGTATACAACCTCTAAAGATCAAACTATTTTTGGACCACTGAGACGATTGCCCATGTATATTTTGGAGTCTATTAGACTTACAAACCTTGAGGTGACGGACCACATTAAGGCTATGAATTGTGTTGACCCATACCATTCTTTCCGGCCAAGACCAAGTCAGTCTACCGCAACCTAGGTTCCTCATTCTACCACAGTCCCCACCGCAACACAGGTTCCCCCTACCGTAGACTCATCTGGTTAAACCAATCCCAAAAGAGTTAAGTCACTTGTTACTTCAAGAAAAACCCCAATGAACATAGTGAAAAAGGGAGTTACTCCCTCCAAGAAACGCAAGTCTAAAACTTCCGAATTTTCTGTTGCGGTTCATTGATCTCCTTCTAGAACTCAAGATCCTCCAGTCAATGTTGTAGAAAATTCCGCTTTAGGAGCCTTCGTGATCTGGAGACATCTTTAGTAGAAAGATTCTTAAGCTCACCCCAAGTCCAAGCCATATGCGAACCACGACTCATACCGCAATGTCTCCAAAGACTCTGGTAGTCACTAGAGCTACCGCCGGCTCACCTTTTCACACCCAATCTCACCACTCAGATAAATTAAGTGCATTTGTTTCATCACATCTTGGAGACACACCTCCAATTGGTTCCCAAGTGGACCCAAATGTTACGAGTCACCCTAAAGTCTCCAATGCATCACACTTGCACTGTTTTGACCCTGAGAAGTTGAAATCCATACTTGTTTGTGTCACACAAACACTGCAAACACCTGTTGCACCGCAAGGAACTTCTTCAGCCTTTTCCAGAACTGATGCAAGGCCAGAATTGAATTCAGGTCAAGGAGACCGATGAAGCTTAGGAAATCCTATTCCACCAACATTACTTACAAGTGGTGTAGGCGTGGGGAGAACAACTGTGCAAGGAACCACGGGCCTGAAGGACACCTCGGTGCCACGTCAAGGATTTGATGGTTACCAATATGAAGATTCATGAACTCATTATTGCCCAAATACCGAGTCCAGAATTCGAAAATTTGAAGCTTTTCAAAGGGGATTTAAGGCAAGGAGGGCACAACAAGTCCAACAACAACAAGAAAAAGAGAAGGATCTTCAGGTAGTAGCAAAATATTGGGCAGATGCATTCAAAAATGCCAAAGTTGTTCATAATCTTCTAACTATTCAACATTAGACGACCAAGATGGAAGCAATTGTTCTCCAAGCCAAAGTCATGGAAGGTGGTGCTGGCCTTTCAAAGCCCCCTCCAAATGAAGAAGTCCATGATTTCAAATGATGATGGAACTGCAATTGAGATAAGCTCCGGTCTAGTGTTCGGACTTGATGACCTTGAATTAGATGATGTTCAACATCCTCCCAAATCTGAAGAATTTATGATGGTATTTGAAGATGAAGAGTCGAGTAGATCCCAACACTCAACCTTGAAGCCAAAAGCAAAGAAAAAGAAAAAGGTTAACAAGAAAGGAGTTTCTAAGTCTCCAAGCCAAGGTTGATCAAATCCTGGCCGTAGTCATAACTAAGGAACCACAGAGTATTGCAGTTCCTACACCGCAGTCTCTGGTGGAATGTGTTGAAACTCTTGAGACCAGGGAAAGGTTGCTTGCACAAAGGGTTAACCTAACGATTGAAATGGGAATCCGCAATCTGTATAATTGTCGTACTACTGATCACAAGGAGTTCCTTTCCACTGCAGAAAAGCTAATCAAGGAGATCACCGCATTAAAAGATTAATTCATAGCTTCTCTGGACAAACAAGCCATTCACTCTAACAAGCTGGTGGAAGAAAATCACAATGCATATGAATCCAGCCTCACGGTCCTCCAAACAACAATCAATGGCTTACGGAGATCCCTAACTGCAAATTCAAGTATTGATGAGATCCTACAGCTCACCAAGGACATCTATCAATTACTTTTCAACAAAGATATTCCCAATAACCAACAGATCTGTGAAGCCATGAAGTCTTAATTTAATGAATCATTTTCAAAAATTGATGGACTTAAACAATGGTTTGAGGAGCAACAAATTGTTAATTCCTCAAAAGGGGGAAGTGAGACTCATTTTCAATTTCATCATGAACAAGGTCACTCTCATTCCAAGAATCCTTCAATTCACCAAAATCCTCTAAGAATCCAAGATACACCTTCCATAGAACAAGACAAACTACCAAGTCTGTAACCTTCTCCGCACCCATCTCCATAACAACCAACTTCGGTGCCATCTCCACAACAAACTCCACCGTAACAAGATCCTCATCAATCTCCACATCATACTCCTCCGCAATTTAGAAACTTGGAAGCAACATTATCCTCGGATCATTCAAATGATTCATTGGCCACTCTTCAAAGATAAAGAGACTGGAGGGACGCGAAGTTTGCCAAAAAGATTTGGCGAGCACATGGTTTTAATACAACCATGGATGAATCCTTAATCAATTTCTCAGTAAATCCTATATGAAGGCTTCTTGATGATGTTTATAGCCCTATGTTGACCTATTTTGATCCTCCATCTGATGGGTATTGGGACATACCAATCTCTCCAAACTCCAAGTTTTTCCCTGTGTTCGAGCCATTTGATCTCACTATTCCAGATGATCAAAGAATTCCCCTTGAATTTGAATGCTTAAATATGTTTCATGCCAAGCATGGCACTGAATTTGAAAAGATTTGGTCTAATGAAAGACCATTAGGGGTGAAGAATTACTAAGTGAGGAAATTTATGAAGACCGACTTTGTTCAGTGTACCCTCACTCGGAGAGGAGATGATTATATCAGGATGCAGGCTAATTTCCCCTGCATGAACCCAGATGAAACTTTCCTGGTTGCAAGGGTTTTCCAGATCATGGCTGAAAAACATCCGAAAATGAAGATTGCCTGTGATAAAGCTTGCGAGTTTCTTAAGGCACTGGTCTGTGATTTTGGGAAAATTGATGTCGTAATTCATCTTGTTCTAGCCTAGAAGTTCAAATTTACTGACTTTGAGCCTACACTAAGCTTCACTGAAGGTTATCAAGATATGTCACTCAGAGCAAATAACTTTCCGGAGTAAGGAGTTGTTTATAAGAAAGCCAACAGTGATCTCAAATACTTCATTCCTGTTACCGCAATGCACAAATTAACCAAGAAACAATTGGATACAACCTTGGCCTCGGTTCAAAGATCCAACAATACAACAGATGAAGTCAAATTTGAGATAACCAGAAGAATCCATTGGATGTGCGAAGTAAGGAGATTCTTGTGGATTTTCTTCAAATTCTTTAAACTCAACAAGTAAAGAATGAAATTTAAGAGGTCATTTTGGGGGAAAATGTTGATACATAAAGTGACCCTCTTAACTTTACGAATTCACAGTCTTGTTTTTGTGTCTGCCAAAGTTGGAGTGGCTGCTGCAATTGAAGTATGTCAATCGAACTTAAAGTTGAAAAATATGCTTAGTTAACTGCAACACCAAACGCAACCGCAACCTCATCTACTACCGAAGATAAGAATGATCTACATTAGTGACTTAGCGTGTTAGCATAGTTTTATCCAGTGAACCTTGCATGGTCACTGAAGTCAGTAGAATAGTATTAATTTATTATTCATGTATCTTTTCGGGACTCTATAAATAGAGACTCCATTCCCTTGTACCAAAACAACTTTTCTCGATCTTTTTGAACTTCATTGCAATACAAAGATCATTCTCTCTATATCTTATCTGAATTCTCAAGGCCCTCTTCACCTTAAGTTGTTCTCATTTACTAACATGTGTTTGAATGCAAATATTGTTATGAAACAACTTGGTGTATACTTGATATAACTTGTTGTCATTTAAGTTTCCTTTACATTTCTGCACTTTACATTTCCACAACTAACAATCTAAATCTTCTAACTTTTATTATTGTTAAGCTGATAAGATCCTTGAGATTAACTTATTCCGCAACTTATATTCTTTTACTAACGTTTGTTCAAGTGTTTCCTCAAAAGTTTTTCTCTTAACAATACATCATCTTCATTTTTTCGCCAAGATAGCATGAAAACGAATCTTCAGGTTTCTGTATTCGTTTTTGTCTTTGAATTTATCTAGTACTTTGAACTATGGTGATGTGAACGACATGTGATTGATACGAAAACCGAGTTGATTGAAGTCCGAATTTTTAGTTTCAAAGATTTTCTTCGTCCTTTTAAGGAATTCATCATTCTTCCACAAAACTGCGATTACAATCGTTTCATAACACCAATGCTTGTTTGGGTCACCTTTGTTCAGGCATGGTGGATCATTCTCCCTTTGACAAATAATGTTATTGATTTGCCTTTTTCGTTCCATTTTTTTTAGCTTTTTGCTTCTTCTTTTCTTCATCTGATTGTTCAATCAGGATGACCTTCCCCTTTTCCTTTGGATCAATTGTTGAAATTGTTTTAACATGATCTTTACTCGACCATCCTTCTTCTTCTTTAATTAAGGTTCCTTTCAATGGAATTATCAGCTTATTTTTTTTTTTTGTAGATGTTGTAGTCAAAGACACCATTAGAGGTTTCATGGGAATTGAAGTTGGAATCCGAGACGAAATCACCTTCCCAATTAATGCTCCTGTATCACTACCATAATCTTTTAATGATCTAGTTCCTCCAACTCCTTTATCTCCCCCTTGTGAGACTTGCACAACACGAGGAGCATTGCTTGGTAGACAAAGCACAAAATTAAGTATTGGAGCAAGCTCAATTCTGATGTTTGACTCAATGTTCAAAACCATTTGTGAGAGAGATTCTTGAGAGATAGTTGATTGATTCGAAAAAATAACCTTTGAAAAAGTTTCCTTAATACCAGACAGGAATTCCTCCATCTTTTCAAACACCTTTGCATCCTTCTCTGACTTGGCTTCAAACTATTTCTTGCACTCAGTGTTGAACTCAACCAATTGAGTAATTGCACAAGCAAGAACATCAACTTTTCCATGCAACTCTTTGTAAATTTCTTATATCTTTTTGACTTCTTATGACATCAAGGATTTTATCTCATCAACCTTGACAACAAGAGACCCATTCGTTTCATTGACATGCTCCATGAAAAGTTCATGACGTGCCTTAGCAGCATCACAAAACTTATGAATTTCATAATCATAGCTCCTGGAATGAAAAGCTAGTCTTTCTACTTGTTTCTTCTCAATTCCCTCAATTAAGTTTTGCAAACAAGATTCTTGAGATTTTATCAAGTATTCCATTTCAACTCCAGTCACATAGTTCTTTCTTCTAGTATCTGCTGCAATTTAAAGAAGAGAATTGAGTTTTAAGTTGAGGATCTTGAATTCCTTACCTGACATAATGAGTTCATCAGGAATATTTTCTTCTCTAGGGTTGAATTGAAGATCAGCAAACGAAACCATGATATCTTCATCATTAGTTTCGTTTTTTGGTTGTGAATTTTCAGTGGACTGAGATGAGAAGAGAGTAGTGATAGGTTCTTGCATGATACCATCGAATGTTGGTGATATAGTCAAAACAGGAATATAAGTAGGACCGGGTAACGATGGTGGTGGTAAAGCTGTTGAAGTATCGATGATAGATGTGACCGAAGATTCATGGTTGAGCATCCCTTCATCCATGTTGACATTTGTTCCCTTATTAGATAAGTCAATAGCGATGTCTGTAGTTCCGATCTCCTCCTTACCAGACTCAGTATTCAAAACCCCGAATGGTTTGACTATTGCCTTCTCATGGATGTTGGTGTGTTTTTGGTCACTCAAATTGATGTTTGTATCCATATTAGATATGTTTACAATGACATCGGGAATACTTGTCTCCTCAAAAATCTACTTGACAGAGGTATACTTTCGCGGTGAACCAAGAAAGGAATCTTCAATGCAGACATCACACCTTCGCTATCACTGTTATTCTCATAGTCACATTCTCAAGTGGAACAATAGCTTCAAGTTTTCTCTTCTTTAACTTTTTATCCATGCGAATAGCTTGACGCTTCTTTGAGTTTGGTGATCCAGGAGCTGAAACTTCATGAAACAAAACACCCTTCCTGGTAAACTGTGGCTTTTAACCTTCTTTGGACCATCCTTAGAAGAAACAAGATTTGAAGGTTCAACAACAATAGGCTGAAAACTTTCTAACAAAGGCTCATGAGTAGTTTTCTTCATTGGAAATGAAGAAGGCTTCTTGGCTGACTTCTTAGTGCGTTTGAGAACCCTAAATTTTGTCGGTATGGTTTGTTTAACATGTTCCTCCTCCACAGCTTGTTCTTTGTCAACTTGTTTATTCTTCTTTGGAGCATTCAAGCCTTTAGATTTTACTTTTACCCCCTTTGGTGGAAGAACTCTAACTGGATTAGAAGAATCAATAGAGGCCAAATATTGTACCAACAGTTGATTTTTGGGATCCACAAGTTTGAGCATCGAATCCAGAATGTGATCAATAGAGGGAAAACATTAGTATCATCTATAGAAACTCTTGGAGCTAACATCGTTGGAAAATCACTTTCTAACCACTAAAATGATAAGCTCACGGTACTACGCCGATCTTGATGTCATTCCATTACTAGCTTGAAGACTCATGAACAACGCCACCGGATCAAAATATACTCAACCGTCAACTCAATGTCTTGCTGGAAACCCATAACCAACCCTGGATTTACTGCATTCCTTTTTCCTCACAACCTTACCCAAAGGGTCAAGTACTAGAAGATCTAATGAAATGATGAACCTTAATCATTAACAGAAACATCCTCATGAAGTACCAAAACATAACCCATCAATACGTAAATAGCTCGATAAAACTTTTAAAGTTAACCATAAATGTTCCTAAAACCAAGGTTGGATTCATCCAATTATCAACCCTACCTAGCATGGAATGCCAAAAAAATTGGATTCTATGAAAATCTAATGTCCCTTCTGGAAAAATGAACAACATTGTCCTAAATTGTAGACTTCCAATAAACAAGAACATCTTGCAAACTCGAGTCGAACTTGACGATAGGTTGATGAATCCATTGAACTTTAATGGATATAGCTCAAAACTTCCGAAGAATTTCCACTTTGATGACGAATGAAATGGCCAATGATTGAGGATGCATTAACACCTAATCCAATGAACCAATAGGCTACTGAATCAAAACCCACGCGGAGCTGAACATACCCATCTCTAAAACTCATTTACTGATCGACAACTGCCCAGTCTAGACTATAAATAGCAATCCATACAACGAGCTGAAAAATCCCTCAACAACGGATACTCAGGCTGAGCGATCCTAGCGCCTCCTCATATATTCATTGGCATCCCAAAAGGAATCAGTGGATATAACAAGCTCTTTGACCAACTACTTCCTACTGTGAGCCAGGTTGTGTATTTCCTAAACACATACATCTGATATCCATTTGCTTTACACCCCCAACATGACAAAATCTGGAATAGATCAATGATCCTCCAAGTATAATACTTAGTTCCCCCCACTTACAGTTTGAAATACTTCCCACTGGTGTTACAACTAAACCATATCTTAAAGTGGCTCAACCAGTTACAAACCATCCTTGACTCTTGGAAAGTATAACACACGCAATATGATATTCTAGATAAGGACCAAGCAAACCCTAAGAGATTCTAAATCTCAGATGAAGACCTAAGAAATTTCCAATCATAACCACTTCTAACATTAGGAACCCTTCACAGATGCACAAGCAATAACTCTGACAGTCCATTCCTAGCACCGATTTCTATCCCGAAACATATGGATTACCACATACCTCATCCATAATTCCCCAACCATCAATACGGTACCAGATCTGCCTATTGTTGGGTTTTTGTATACTACAACATCCTATGGTTCACATACAACCCTAAAAGCTTTTGTAATGTCTACGATTCCAGACTAGGCATTTTCGTTGATGTAATAGTCTAGTTTAACCCTTGTAAATCTTTTTGAAGTATTAATAATGAAATATTTGAGTATTATGTGAATTATGTGTATTTGTGTGCTTATTACTTAATTATAAAGATATAATTAATAAAGAATAAAAATAAGCGTCAAAATTAAAGTATGAGATAAGCCCGATATCTTTGCATAAGGATGTAGTTGTCGAAACAAGGATTCCGAAGATATAAAGAATGCCGAAATACGAGTTATAACGAAGAAGTTATGACCTGTCGAAGTTTCGCGACAGAACAGACAACGCTGAATGACGTAAAAAGTGAAATTTATGTTAGAGAGATATTTAGCCTTAGTGATCCAAACGAAAGTCGTAGAGTTCGTTAAACCGAGAGCGTGCATAAAAAGAATGCCCAAATCTGACTTCGTATGAGGAAGTTATGATTTTTCTAAGTTTCGACTTAGCAGTATGGAACCCGAATACTCAATTTGAGACCGAGCGGTTTTTAGCCGAAACAATCTAAATGAGAGTCGAAGATCTCATTAATAGTAGTGAAACGATAAAAAGATAGGCGAAAACAGACGTCGGATGAAGAAGTTATGAATTTATAACAGAGTTTTCCTATCCCGGCCTACTAAAAATTAATAATAAAAATAAATTCAAAATTAGCCGACGGAGTCTAAACAAAAGTTGCAGAGCGTAGTGGCGGGAGTGAGCGGGGTGATCCTCGGGAGTGAGCGGGATAAAGAACGTCGAAAACGAAGTTCGTATGAGGAAGATATGAATTTTTGAAGTTTATTAAATATTTTTGATATTTAATTTAATTTTAAATTTTCAATATTATCCAAGGGGGGAGTGAGCGGGGTGATCCTCATTACCCCCAGCGTAATTTCACATTATTCCCAACGTAATTCGAACTTCCAGCCCCTATAAAAGGATGTTGAGGCTGCCTTATTCATTTGCTCATTTCTTCCCCCTCTCTCGCGTTTTTGCATCGTTTTTCGTGCAAGAAATATCCCGAAGCCCCGGTATCATTCCCGAGCGCCGAAGCAAGTCCCGAAGCCCCGAAGATCCCGAGAAGTGCAATTCCCGAGCTGAAGCTCTGCCCGCGAGAAGCCCGGTTTTTGTGAAGATCTTCCAGATCTACCAAAGAATACTACTTCTACAAGTCGTAGTGTTGTCCGATCATCTTCTGATCAAGTGAGTGTGTAGTTACTTTCTTCTAACGCATAATTATGAAGTATTTTATATAAAATACATGTTATGTGTATATTTTGTTGTTATATGTGTGAATGTATATTCACTTTCTTCTATCTCATAGATCTGATTTATTCTTTATGAAATACGTGTTATGTGTGTGTGCCTCATCTGTTATGTGGAATATGTATTGATTGAACATACTATACTAGGTTTAAACTATGTATAAAAATATATATATTTTTATCTACTAATATGTTGGGTAGAACATGGGTAGATAGTTGATGTGTGATAAAAAATGAGAGGCCTCGATGTTGTTTTTGATTTAGTCATGTGGAACGCTAGCAGGTTTGCCACCTGTAGGTGTTAATGAACTTGGGTGTTCATTCGCTGTACTCCATCCCCCTCACGGTTTCCTTATTTGACATATATTGCCGGGAAACCCCCGAATGCATGTGTTGTCGCCCCGATGACATATTATAAGACTAGGTCCCTTGTGTTAGTTGTTTTAGGGACGTAAAGTGAGAATAACAGGAATGGGTAATTGGGTTATTGTTGGTTGGTGGAATTAAATATAATTATTTGTTGTAGGTTGAAAACCCTATATGCTCACCAGGCTCCCAAGCCTGACCCACTCAGTTTTATTTGTATTATAGGAAGTGGCGCAATGGCATAAGATGGATGAATCATCAAGTTGTTTTGTTTACAAGTCTGTATATGTATAAATTTGTTGAACGACTTGTAATGTTATCGTTTATGCTTTATGGTCTGCAACGGAACATGACATCCCGAGTTTTGATTATATAATGAAAAATATATTTCTTTATGAAATGCTTTGGTAAATATTATTTTATCACATTTTGTTTTTGGGAACAAATTCCGCAACTCTTTCAAATCAAAAGGATTTACTCTGAAATTATTTTAAAAGCATAAATGAAAACCGGTCTTTTCTGGCCGTGATTTTGGGGATGTCACAGTTGGTATCTGAGCATTAGTTTAAGCGAACTAGGAATTTGTAGGATTTCTAGACTTAAACTGAAATTGCTAAGTGAAATTTTGAGATGTGTGTCTGTGATATTTTAGACACGAGCACTAGTTTATTTTAGGAAAATTGCTTAAAATGTTTTTATGTGCTAAATGTTATATGTTTTCCATATATGATATTATTTGTTCGGATCTATGGTCTGTTGCCGACCGGATCTGGAAATCTTATGTGTGTAGGATTCTAAGCGTATGCCTACGATATTAGAACTAGCATGTAAACGTTTCGGAGTGATAAGGATGATTTGAATATCTATCGTGAACAAGGATCTAATTTCACCTTATTCGGTGTGTAGATCAAAAAATGGTGAGAACAAGAAGTGGAGTTGGAAATGCTGATGAAAACAGGAATCAACCACTAGTGATTGAGGAAATAGCTGTCGTAGCAGCAGCACCTGAGCCGATAACAATGGCTGGTGTACAATTGATGATTCAAAAGATGTTGGATCGTCAAATGGAGGAGACTAGGTGGTTGCTTCAACAGAATCGTGAAGAACTGTCAATTCAAGTGGAAGAGCCCGAATTAAATGAAGGGTACTTGGAAGGTGGACACTTTAGTGGATCTGTTGGTCAAGCCAACCCACCGATAGTTAGGCAAAACAACCATGATGGAAGGAATGATGGAATGGGATGCAAGTACAAGGACTTTCTAACTT